CGATTTTGCGATTTTTCGGTCCAAAATGCAAGCACTAGTGATAACGGTAAGGTGCAATGGTTGAGTTTTAGTATAATCCAATTATAATGACATGAACTTATCAAAACCCATTAGATTAATCAAATGGTTAATATTGTTTTAAATGTGTGTAAATGCATTGATGCTAAATGCAGAGACCCAAGATTCGAAAGTTACTAAACCAAATACAAGAATGATTGTAATCACGCCCTTTCTTTGCCGAAAGGTCAACTGCCATTTAACCTCCCTAAAAATATGGTAAAAGAAATTTGTGTGAACTTTGGTAATAGTTGCCAAAAATAATTCGCAATGGACTGCATACTTCAGGACAGTTCGCTTGTCTTGTAATAATTTGAATTAGAACTTTAGAGTCTCTTTGAACTTCAATCAACTTTTCCATATTATAGCATGCTTGATCGCCAAAGCCTCTGCCTTAAGAATAGAATTATGTCCCAATGGAGAAGATCATGTTATTATTGGTTTTGGCATCTACATTTGAAATTATAAAACTTGCAACAGAGTCACCATTAGAAATTACAGACCCATCAAAATTAATTTAATAAAAATTATTTGTAGGTGGACTCCAACTGTAAGCTTTTGCAATTTTTTTTTTAATTTTTAAATAGCAATATGATTAGCTTGCCAATAATTATGTAAGAAAGTTCTAATGTGTGAGAAATGGCTTCTTGGATTTGTGGCAATTTATGTGACCATCCAAGCCTAATTTAGTCATAAGCGTCTGAACTTGTTCTAAAACCGTTCGCAATCCTCAAACCCTGACCCTAAACCTAATGTAGAGTGCTTAGGACTCTAATTTTGTCAAGACTCGACACATGTATATCTCGACAAGAATTCGTTTCGAGGCAAAATTTTGCTGCAATAGGTCTGTCTCGACAAATTTTTTCGCCGCGAACGCTAATTACGTAATGTTTGTAATTAAGTAATATCTTAGCATTATTTAATTTCTTTAATTAGTGCTTAGGTTTTAGTTATGATTTATTTAGTGACTAATTAATATTTAAATAATTGAGTTATTTTTAGAAATTACTTAGTAAATAGTATTTAATTATTTTATGGATTTTAAACTTGATTTTAATTTCCAAAAGTATTTTAAAAATAGATTGGGCTTGGCTACTCACGTAACTCACCTAGGGTTTTGATCCTAATATAGGGTTAGTACAATGTAACCGGACCTAGTCCAAGTTAGTTGAGTACACCTTGAGGTAGATTTTAACAAGTAGTTTGTTGTTGGAATCTGGATAAAATTTCGGTGCGAAAGATATATCGTGATACATAGTCGTTGGGATAAGTCTATCTTATCAAAGTTCGTCAGGATAGAAAAAGTTCATTAGGGTAGCTCTATCACGACAAATTCACCGAGATATTTCTATCCCGACGAAAATTCACCGAGACAGGTATAGGTTAGGTCCGGTTACGTCGTACTAACCCAAGAGTGAGATCGAAACCTTAATCGTAAAGCCTTAGGTCGAGTTACGTGAGTATCCAAGCCTAATCGAGTCCTAAGTGACATACTTTAGGTTTAGGGTTAGGGTTCAATGCTTGTGAACAATTTTGGAACATGTTTGGATAAATTTGAAAACTAAGGTTATTGGTTCGAGACTTGAATTTAGGATTTGGAGGGTAAAATCCATTTTTGGAATACTAAAATAATTTTTTAAGATTTTTAAATAATTTCAAAAAGGTACCTAATTAGTTAAATTTTAAAACAAAATTAGTTTCTTTAGATTAATATTTGTAATTAAGTAATATCTTAGTCTTATTTAATTACTTTAATTATTAACTATGTTTTAATTATTATTTATTTAGTGAATAATTAGTATCTAAATATTTTAATTAATTACACAAATTAATTAATAAATAGTAATGAATTATTTTAAATTATTTGTGAACTTTTGTTTATACAAAATTCTTTTGTTTAGTTTAATATTTGTAATTAAGTAATATCTTAGCTTTATTTAATCACTTTAATTAGTAATTATATTTTAATTATTTCTTCTTTGGTGAATAATTTGTACTTAAATATTTTAATTAATTTCATAAGTTACTTAATAAATAGCAATTAATTATTTTAAATTGTTTTTAGGACTTTTTGTTGGTTTTTTTTATAGGGTTAAAGGTCAAAATGGTCCATGTGTTTTACTCATTTGGGCACTTTAGTCCATGTGTTTTTAATTTGGCTAATTTAGTTAATGACGGAACGGATCCTAAATTCTTGGGCCAATGGGTTAAAGTGTAAAAGTGTCGAAATTTTTTTAAAAGAAAATAACACTAAAAAAAAACATAAAAATAGTACTTCCATCCAAACTTCAATTGTGCACGACGAGGTTTTTTTTTTTTTTTTGAAAACGTTGCATTATAGCTTCATAAATAATTTATTTTTCAATAATTTTAGGCACTTTTGTTAATGTCTCGTCTAAAAAAAGAATATCATTTTTTTTATAAAGAATAAAATTATAATGTATAAAGACTAGAATTATCTTTTAAAAAAATTTAAAATGAAACAACCCCAACCCACATCTCCCACTTTGAAAAAGAAAAGAAAAGAAAAACCAGTACCTCCCCATCTTCTCTTTCACAACAACATTCACCCTAATCTTTTCTCCTCCTCTCCTTTTCTCTCTCACTCCTGATATCCCTCTCTCGTTCTCTCACATCTCTCTCTCTCTCTCTCCAAAATTAAAACTCACCCACTGCCATCGCACTCACCCATTATACGATTCCAGTAACCCCATCAACCCACCTTTCTTTCTTTGGGGACTTTTGTCGAGCATGTTCAGTGCACCCAAGGGGTCAACAAGTTGATGTCCAAGGGGTCTGCAACTACTCGCCTGAAACCTTCACAGCCAAATGCCGACATCCCAAGGGGTCAATTAACCTCTCTTGTCCCTTGGTGCGCCTGCCACTGAATTTAGTCCTTGTGTTTTACTCTGTTAGCCAATCTTACCCATTACGTCAAATTACTGTTAAAATTTTCATAAATATTAATTTTAAAAATAAAAAAATCTAATTATAAAAAAAACAAAAATAAAATCTTAATTTAAAAATAAAATGCCATTTTTAACAACTGAGGTAGGGAGTGCTTGTCATATGAAGATCAGTATGAGAGAGAGAGATGGAGAAGTTGTGGGGGTGGGTGGGATGTATGAGAGAAAGAGAGAGAGAGAGAGAGAGAGAGAGAGAGAGAAATGGCTCATCGTGATTGGGGTGGTGGCACCTAGCAACTGCTCACCTGAAACCTTCACAGCCGAATGCCGACATCCCAAGGGGTCAATTAACCCCTCTTGTCCCTTGGTGCACCTGCCACTGAATTTAGTCCTTGTGTTTTACTCTGTTAGCCAATCTTGCCCATTACGTCAAATTACTATTAAAATTTTCATAAATATTATTTTTTAAAATAAAAAAAAATCTAATTATTAAAAAAAACAAAAATAAAATGCCATTTGTAACAACCAAAGTAGGGAGTGCTTATCAGATGAAGATCAATATGAGAGAGAGAGATGGAGAAGTTGTGGGGGTGGGTGGGATGTAAGAGAGAGAGAGAGAGAGAGAGAGAGAGAGAGAAATGGCTCATCGTGATTGGGGTGGTGGCACCTAGCAACTGCTCACCTGAAACCTTCACAGCCGAATGCCGACATCCCAAGGGGTCAATTAACCCCTCTTGTCCCTTGGTGCACCTGCCACTGAATTTAGTCCTTGTGTTTTACTCTGTTAGTCAATCTTGCCCATTACGTCAAATTACTGTTAAAAATTTCATAAATATTAGTTTTTTTTTTATAAAAAAAATCTAATTATTAAAAAAAAACAAAAATAAAATGCCATTTGTAACAACTGAAGTAGGGAGTGCTTATCAGATGAAGATCAATATGAGAGAGAGAGATGGAGAAGTTGTTGGGGTGGGTGGGATGTATGAGAGAGAGAGAGAGAGAGAGAGAGAGAGAGAGAAATGGCTCATCGTGATTGGGGTGGTGGCAGCGGCTTGAGGGAAATGAGAAGGCGTACTAGGTGCTGGGTTTAGGGATGGGAACTGGCCGGTTAAGGGTTGGGTATGGCAATATTATTCGCGTCTTCACTCCCCATCTCCGTCCCTATCCCTGTCCCATCCCCATTCCCATCAGGGGATTATATCCCAAATCCGGCCCGAATCCCCTATTATATATTTTTTAAAAAATATAAAAATAATAATATTACACTTCAATTTCTCCTTAAACTATCATTCAACTCAATTAAATTCAATTAAACTATTAAAATTCACTCAACTACTCAAATTCATCTCAATTCAATTTGACAAAAATAATAAAATCATATTTACTTTGAGAAAATAGGATAAAAATTAATGGAACCAACACAACATATTGTTTTCATCGACAATTCATATCAAGATGAATGTCCTCACTCCATGGAAAAGGATATGTGGCTGTACATACAACTGTTGTATTACAGCGGCCATTACTTTAATAGACTAATCTAACTCAACTTAATATTATTTAATTAATTATTTGTACATTAAAATTTTTTAATTGTTATATTATATTACGTTATATATATATTTATTAATTAAAAATAAATACATCATTTATCAGACTGGGTTTGGTGATGAGGATAACAATACCATTCTGGTCCATCTCCGGGTATTTTAAAATTGGGGATCCCAATACCCACCCATGTTCTCCCCTCAAAATCTCTCCTATTAAGGCCAGGGACCCGATGGGAATTTTTGCTATCCCTAGCTGTTTCTAAATATTAATATTATTTTTTTGGATCAACCAAATATTATTCTCTTGTTATTGTTATTCATATTTTTTTATTTGTAAACTGAACTTAATTTGTGTTATTCGTATTTTTTTTTCTTTGTTATTGTTATTCTTTTGGGCAATTACAGTTTTAAACCCGTTCTGGAATCAAACGGGCCTTGTGGTTTTGACACCACACTAGAAAACTTCGCTTATGTTTGGGAAGATGCGGGAAGAGTCTCCGCTGTCCGAATTTCATTTTATTATTAACAGAAAATAAGAAGAGAAGTGAGAACAGGGAGGCTGGTGTTGGCATGTTCTTTTTATATATAAAACGTGTAGTGTTTCACCCCAAGCTTCCTGTTGTCCTCGGCCGCCGCCCCTACCTGACCTCAGAATTAATTTTGTAACAATAATCTTAATAAATAAGAATAACGATAATAATAATAAGGATGGAGGGCGGAGCAATATCATTGTCATCGGAGAATAGGAAAGAAGAAGAGCAGCAGGGAACGTCCTATACCTATTGGGTGAGGCAAGTGGCGGAGGATGCGGCGCCGCCCCCAGTTCCTCGAAAACTCTCACCTCAAGACATTCTCTCCGCTCAATCCCAGCCTTCCACCCTCGGTTCTCTCTGGAATCGGGTATGTTCTTCTTCTTTTATTTATCTTTTTACAATGTAATTCAATGCTAGATTAGATTCAGTCTTCTTATAATTATCGTCTCGTATGTTTATAATATATGATTGGGACTTGGGTGTTGTACATTAATTTATTGATTCTTGAGCTTCTATTTCTTTATGCTATTTATTTTGCGATTTCTCCAGGCTGGAACTTGGGAGGAAAAGAATGTTAATAAATGGGCAACAGATAGAATAAAGGTTTGTCATGGTACAAAATCTTAAGCATTTTCTTTGTTTACTGCAGTAAGTATCTACAACAAATTCCCATATCACTTTGCCTAACCCAATGGAGCCATATCCATTTCTTCAAGTTGCATCTTTGTTTGTCTCTAGCCTTGATTAATTTCTCTGTCTATGCAATTTACGGTTTCTTTTTTGCATCCATCTTTATTGCAGGAGCTTCTTTTATCAGTGGGTACCTTGGAGTTCTCAGGTGGCAAAGCAGAGATATCAGATGTCTTCAAATGTGTAGGAGATGTGAGTCATAATATTATCGTGGGCCAAAATTTTTTCTTCCATACTTGAACTGCTTTCGACAGTCTACTGAAGGAAATTTTTTAAATTTTATGAATATAAGATGCGGAATGAACAAATTTTTTTCCCAACTGATCCTTTATCTCATATAATATTCAAAAGATAAGAGCTAGGATTAAGGAGTTTTACCCTTGTCATGTGACTTAGTCTAATCCCAGTTCTCCACCAAATTTCGTCTCTTCTCCATGAATGTCCTACATATCTTCTTTCCCATGAACGTCCTCTAGAGTGATGGCTCACTTAGCTCCTCCGTGTGTGAAGTCTCAACTTTATGCACACAAAAGAGTTGTGATTAAGATTAGATTGAGGAACAAGAGTGTGCTAGCACAAGATTCATCACTATGGTCAGTCTTTATGGTGGCGGAAGTTTGCAGAAGTTTTTCCTAGAAAAATCTTCCAAAATCTTACTATCATGTTTAATAGAGGAAAGTGTTAAGACCCTGACTCTCAAGAGCATGTTAGTTTTGCGTTGACTCATTCATGCAAGAATATTTAATGCGAAGACAGTGAACACACAAATGAATAACTTACTCATTTACAATATGTCTGAAAATGTTTTGTCTTTCTAGTCTAGAGGGCTCTTTGTCCTTCCTTTTCTTTTCTCTTTCAAATCTTCTTTATTCAAGAGCTTTGGAAGGTCTTCAAGATTCAGAAAAAGCAAAGAAAAGACTAGCATAAGTTTGTGCTGATTGTCAGTAGGAACTGAGCTGGACTGACCTTTGTAATCCGGAGAAGTCATAGTCATGCATGCTTGTTTCACGAAACTATTAAACTTGGTCCTGGCTTTTCAAATAACATGCTCCTAAAAGCAGGGAATGCCAGTATCACGAGTTGTAAGTAAAGTACAAATATTAATTATATTCCATCATCCTTTAATATGTTCTCTTTTCTTTTCAGTTGCGATTAGAGATTATAATCTTTTTGATTATGGTGATATGATAATAGACTCATTCCTCATGAGTTCATCTTTACTGAGTGACCAGGCATTCTTGGTGACAGTGCGAAACAAGAAACGTGTTAGCTACACCTATGAACTAACCTTGAAAGTAAAAGGTAGTGTGCTGTATTCAAGAATTGTTGCTTTTCCTCTTTCAATACTTCTAATCTCTATTTTCGTGAAATCAGGTGAGTGGATATTTGGAGAGGAGAAAAACACAGTCAAGGGCCAGATAGACATCCCAGAGTTTTCATTTGGTGAGCTAGATGACTTGCAGGTATATGATAATCCTTTTAACTCTACAAAGAAGTAAATGAGGAATATATGATGGATAACAAGGATAGTTTTGCTTTAATAGTCTTCATATATCCCTTGTGCTCATCATGTAATTATGTGTGGATGGTTTTAACAGATGGTTAATTATATATTTTTTATTAAACAGAAACTCAAGTGTCACAAATGGTGGACAAGGAGTCCACTCTTAAAGTACAAACTAAAATAGACATAACATACAACAATTCTCAATACTACAGACACCAGACTAACAAGTGTCTTCCTATCCAGCAAATGGATGAAAGACTTACACCCCTAAAAGCAACTGAAAAAAAATGTTCGGAAAGGACCATAAACCACGTATCTCACAATTCCTCCACCCCTGCCCCCTGTAATCCTCAAAGATTCATATGTTCCTTTCCATCCAAATCTCCACAAAATCTTGCCCCTTTTCCTTCCAGCTAAACCCACACAGCAGCCCTAAACCCTTTGAAGCAACTGAACAATGAACTTGAACATGATTAACACTCTCTGCTCCACTGAAATGCCTTTGAGAGGCTAAGTATATAATGCCCTTGTGGATTTAATGACTGGTGAAGGACTCTGCATAAGATATGGGCTTTTTTCTTTAGAAGTCAGGTGCTGCAGACTTGGAAAGAAATGGATGTCATGGATGAAGGTGTAAAAAAATCTCAAACCAAACATGCTGTCTAATTAATTCCTAGTAGCATGCTGTTACATTTTAGCGTCATTAATTATTTTCCCCCTCTTTGTTTCAAACTACATCCGTAACAAAATGAAAGTCCAAGTTTTAGCCGCTGGAAATGTTTCTTGGTACCTAAGATTGCTGGTTATGCTTATTTGAAGATTTCTAGGCAGAGAGCAGGACTTTGAATGAATTTATTTAATTTTGTAATTGGTAGACAGTTGTTTGAGATCTTGAAAACTTAGACGAGTCATCAAAACTAACTAGTGGGTCTCTTATGCAGAGTGATGACTTATATTAGCTGTTTGATTGAAATAACAGCTGGGGTTTAGTTTCAAAACCCAGCCCATTATTGGCTCTTGATGATGCAGGTGTTAAATAACCCGCACATTGGACCTTGTTCTTTAATGTAACCAACGGCAATAGACTAAACTAGCAAATATTAGAAAACTTAGAAACACACAAGAATTATACTGGTTCGGCAGAACTTTTGCCTACGTCCAGTTGTGATTTCTCTACCTAGAGAAATCACCGCTCCTTTGATTAATAATAGAGATTACAAAACTTTTGCAAACCCTAGAACTAATCTCAAAACTCTCGGCTGTCTCTGGCTGTTCTTCCCACTTAAAATAAGCCTTGCCGCACCCTATTTATAGATATAGAGTTGGCTTACATGTCCCAAGGCTGATTGAATTCCTATTTCTAAGTGGATTAGGAAATTACACTTATCCAAATCCAAATAGACTTCTAGAAATCCAAACCTAAATTGAATAAGGAAAACTGAAATTCTTTCCTAATCCCTCTAGGACAAGAATTGGTATACCTCTAACTTTCCTAAAACAATCCTAAACCAACTAGGACATATTTGACGAGCCAAAAAACCTAACAGCAGGAACATCTATTAGCCTTTCAAGGGTTTTAATGTTTTGTTATCTTTTATTTGTCTTACTTTATTCTTATGTTATCCTTGTGGTCTTTTTAAGTAGTCATGGGACAGTTATGTGAGTTTTTAAGTATTTCGGTGGGCTAGGATTTATTAGTCAGTGAAGTTAACAAGGGCTAGGATGCTAGGGCTGTTACAACCCTAGTATATAGTCTTTTAAGAGATTTTGTGTGCAGTTTTTTATCAGTTTATGGATCACGGCAAGGCTTGACCTTGTGCGCACCAATCTTCATATTATGGACCAATTCCAAAATGTTTCTCACCATCATCAGAAACAAAGAATGCTGGAAATGGTGTGGTTTCGTTTGTTGTATACTATCATCAAAGGTCTGTTATGGTAGTTGTTCTGTTGGCCTTGAAATAAAAGACCTTGTGGGTGTCCCGTAATAGCTGCAATAGTTGTTAGGGGGCTTAATCTTCTTGAATAGCTGAGCCCAAGATCAGCGCCTGTGTTGGGGCTCGGAATGCACATATGGTTTAGAACATGGAAGATCCTATGGTAGTGGAGCTGTGAAGACCTCGTTTGCTCTGCATTGCCTGAAATTCAATAAAGAGAACCAACAGTCCAGATTTAAAATAACTATAGTAACGCACTTAGGCTATTCTGACCTGATAACCCATTTACTTCTAAAACTTTATGGACTTGGATAAATCAGAAAACATCCAAGGAAATCACACTCATCTGAGCCTGTGAATGCACAAGCTTTCTTTCTCAACAAGAGGTCTGGCGACCTGGAGGCTGCTCAAAAGTGATTCTTGTTGTGGAGGTTTAGTGGTGGTAGAAGAGGTGGAGAGGGAGAGCTCTGGTGGATTGTACAGAGATGGGCTGGCACGAAAGAGGATTTTGTGATCGAGGAGTGGGGGGAGAGGAAGACTGATTGGTGGTATTAGGTGGGTTTGGCTGAATGTCTTTGCTTGCATTGGAGCCAACGACCCAGGAGGTGTAGGTTTTGGTCTATGGATGTTAATAGATGAGGATTATTGGATGGTGATTTGTGGTTTGGAAGACAGTTGTGTGTTAATTTATTCACTGTAAATATTGGGGAAAGAATGACTGAGAGTGGTCCTTTTGGTTACATTATGAAGATTCTTTGAGTCGTAGAAGGCTTGAAAATCCTAGGGAATTGCCACGGTTTTGAAGGGATTTTTCTTGAGAGAGAAATCTTGCATTTTGGTTCTGCTCTCTTTCTGATTCCATGGGGTTTATTTGTCTGAGTTCTCAAGGTCTAGAAAGTTTTAGAAGCTGGGTTAAAAGTTAAAACATGGTTGAGAGAGTTAATATAAATGTTGATGGTTCTTTTAATGTAACAGCTTATAGTTGTTTCTCGCTTTTGTCCCACATTTTGTGTCTTCCACTAGAGAAAATCTGCAGTGAGTAATTACTGGATTACGAAGTCCCTACAGAACTGATTACCTTATCTATTTTCTGGCCTTTTTCCTTTCAGAAAATCATGGATAAAAGACAGATGCCCCTCTCCTGATAGTATAATGTCTTGGCATATTTCCCTCCCCAGTTAGTAAGAGTATTTCTGATAGTGTAGTCTCTTAGCAATATTGGCCTCTACCAGTTTGAATGGTTGGTCTACATATTTTATATATTCGATGTTCTTCCTACAAAATATCAGAAGAATAATGAGGATATTGTTATTCATAATAATTTTTTTTTCCATAAGCAGCCGCACTTGGTTTGTACTGGTTGCAAAATCTTCTGCTCTTCTTTTTACCCATGTCTAAATGCTATGCTAGATGATGAATTGGGCTTCTTTTTTTGTTTTTTTTTGGTCAAAGGTTATTTTGCTTCTTGACCTGGGTCTAAATGTTATATTGTTCCTTAGTCATGAACATGCAAGTCAGCTAGACTACAATGTAAAGAATTTGAGTAACCAGAATCTGTCCCTACTCATTAACTTGTCATTACCATGCAATGCAATTATGAGGTTTAACGTGTATTTATCCAGCAATTAACTTCCACAAGACATCGTTAGCTAACAATTTGTGTTCCTTTGTTTTCTGTTTCTGTTAATTGTGAAATGTAGATGGAAGTGAGACTAAGTGAAGAGAAGGATATTCTACGTCAAGATAAGTTACGAGTTAGCAAGGATTTGAAGCTATTTTTGCAGCCCGTTCGCGAGAAATTGCTTCAATTTGAACAGGAACTCAAAGACTTATAGAAGTCGTTAAGGACAATAACCAAGGTTTTACTTCCTATTACATTTAGTGGACTGTACTTTTATTTTAAATTTAATTGGGAAAGAAACTACCCTTTCCAATGCATTTAGGAGAATTGGGCTAAAGGCAAGTCCTTTCCATTAAGGTTTAGAGCTTTTAATACTGTCAAGTTTTTGTTTTTTGGGTAAAAAACTGTCAAGTTTGGAAACAAGTGAACCTATGCGTTGTGTGATTTGATACGTGGATTTTAGTTTTGGGTGAAATTCTTAAGTGGATATTTTTGTTTTATAATAAACGATAGGATATTTTTGTAATTTTGACAACTGTCCAATGCACCCACAACAGACAACACGTAACTACTATTGGGCTAGTCATACCAAATTATCGAACTCATCACAAATATATATTGTTATCGCTATCCATGTAAGTCTAACCTAAGACTTTTCCAAACCAAGTTGAGACAAATATTAATAGATCAAAGGCTAGTTGGTTCATAAATGAAAATTTTTATGTTAATAAACTTACGGCATGTTTACTAATCCGATTTCTAAACCGTAAGAAGGAATTGAATTGAAGATGAGTTGGATTAAGGAGAGTTAGATTCCGGATTCCTATTGAAGTTACTAAATTCACATGAATTGAAATTGAAACCAAATTGATTACTAAAATGCCCTCGTTGTGTTAAAGTAGATAACAAATTTGGAAATTTTAAAATTGTGTGAGGATATAATGGGTAAAAAAGATGGATTCCTAATGGGTTAGTTATCCAGGAATTAGAATACACTTCCCACTCAAGACTCCAATTCCTCCAAAATTAGGAGTTGAATTCCTGATTTTGTATGGGTCCCACTTGCATTTTGATTCCTCCATGTGAAGTAAACACATGAGTATTCGTAATACCAATCAGTGACGGAGCCAGGATTTCACATTAGAGGGGGCCTTTCATAAAACTTGTCTTATCTTCATAATTATCATGAATTTCATATTTTAAATTGGTTAAATACTAATTTCATCATCTACACTATTAAAGACCTAAAAAATTAATCATTTATATTCCAATAGAGAAAATAAATGGGAAAAAAAAAAGAGTTTTTAAAGCGCAATATTAAGGTACCTAACTCATACATGAAAATAATGAGAAAAATAAAAATTTCACAAAGCTTTGAACAAAAGGGGAAGAGAAAAATACCAAACTCTTGAAGCTTAAAAACCTTTAGGAGTTTTTAGTGCAAATATCATAAACAAACCTAGAAGATTTAAGGGAGATGAGTAGAAGGGAGATCAAGAAATTTTATGATTTATTTGTATACAAAAAGTACCTAATATATTATTTTATTTTAAGGTAAATATCCTAAAACTAATATAATATATTATAATATTATATATCATATATAATTGTTAAGGCCCAAAAAATCCAAGGCTGGGCCCAAATATATTCCCAGCCCAGTACGATACCTTACTGAGAAGAAACCCAATTTGGGTATGCGAGAATTCATCGTACGCGCGCGCGCAAGTTATGATCCACGTGCTACGCCAAGCAAATATGTAACCTTTCATGCAAAAAGTTGTAACGAGCCTGTAAAATGTACTGGCTCTATGAACCCATGCTTATTATCTCGTCAAACATCATTTTGACTCGACTCCAGCCCTTTACAATATGATAAAACTTGAGCATGAGCACGCCAAACAACATGCAATGCCAAGCGGAAAACCCTTATTTTGCACCTAGCCACGCTACAAGCTTAAGTGGGCCTAAGCCACGCAAATTTCTGGGACTTGCTGGGCGGGTTGTGGTATGTATGGTTACGAGCATTTATGAGGCCCATTGATGAGCTAAGAAGTGGAAGTTTTGGGCTACTTGGGAGCTCTAAAACTCGAGTCCATTTCTTGAGCCCAAATATGTGGGTAAGCATGAAAGAGAGAAAAGTGGCCCATCACCTTAGGAAGTGGCCCAACAACTTATAAAATATCTCAGGAAGCCTCCAGCACATGGCCAAAGCTAAATCCAAGACAGACCATCTGTAAAATCGAAGGATATTTGTGTGTGCAAGCTGCTGGGAGTAAAACATCCTTCAGACCAACACCTTTACCCACTTCTTTCTCCTACCAACTCTTGCCATAAAATAAGAGAGGAAAGAATGAGAGAGTGTTGCCAGAGACAGGAGATTGCTATAGGGACAGCTGCAGGAAGACTCTAGAGCTCCAAAAAAAACTTGTCTATGTGTATTTGGATTCGGGGGATTTCACAAAATGGGGATGAATCAAAGGAAGAGAAGAGGAATGGAGGAGGAGACTTGACAGATTTGGGAAGAACCAGCTAGGGTTTCTTGGGAAGGAGGAGCTTCCAGGGCCTATAAAAGGAGGCATCTCCTACCCAGCAAATGACCACAACCAGAGAGAGCATGCATCTCCTCTCACTACTGGAACTCTTCAATTTCGTGCTTTGTTCTCCCATCTGCTTCCTTTTTCTCATCTGGCAAACCCTCCAAGAGCGCGATGAAGCTTTCGTCAAGCGGCTAGAAATTTGCTCAAGTCACCCACTCTTCCACCCTCATCTTTTCCTCTCTTCCCTCAACAAATCTTCCCAAAATTCCCTCTCCCCTTGCTTTGAACCTATGTTTCTCATAGGAAATCTAAGCCTTCTCTCTCTAATGCTAAACTCATGAATGCTCAACTCCCATGCTACAAGCTTCTCAAGCCAAGCCAAAATATTCATTTGTAAGCAACTGTTGGTTTTGCTGGTGAAGGAAACCAAAGTGCTTCCTAAGGCTCCATGAACCTTTTGAAACACTCTTGGGGCCTGATTTTAGAACTTAGACACAAGGGCAACTTCATTCATTTGCTCTTTACAGCAGCCCATGCCCATATATAGCTGCTGAAACAAAAAAGCCTCTACAATAATATACAAATAAAATAGGTAAAAATGAAGTGAGGGCCTGGGACCACACTGGTCCCATGTTGACTTCGCCTCTTATACCAATACAACTCCTTATTTTGATTTCGATTATGGATTAGTAAACATGCCATTATGGTATTTTTCCTTTACCACCCGAATTTGAGTTTTGCGTTAATTTCTTATTCAAATTTTGTTTAAACTATATTTTGATTTAACTATAGTTTCATACTCTCACTGTCGCCCTTGCCATTAATTAACATGCGACGTCTTTCTATATATCCTTTAAGGAGTCACTTATGGCAATATGCATTAGGAATAAGTCCATATTTTCATGGGTTAATGACAATTGAGTACCTTATGATTGCACTTATAAGATATGGTAGTTCTTGTCCTCTCGATTATTGCAATTAGATACCCCTGTCTTTTCAATTTGTTACAATGTGGTTCTGCTGTTAGGGTTTCTGTCAAATCTTTCGTTAGTTGCCTACGTGGCACTTATGGGTCCCACATTTTTGCTTTTTTGTTTGTTTGCTTAGGTGTAATAAAATATTCATACCATATTTAAAAATCAATTAAAAAATAAGAAATTAAAATAATAAAAAAACCCCATCAACCCCGATTTCTTCTCCCTCATTTCCCATGACAACCAAACCCCACCCGCAACCCACCCCGTCCTAATCTCCACCTCAACACTTACCCTTTGCCGCCCCTGTAACCCATCTGCCACAACAACCACCCAAGCCTGCCCACCTAACCAGATCCACCACCTCCATTTTTCGCGACTGTAAAACCCAATTCTCAGACCACGCAACACTCATCCTTTTTCTCAACCCAACCCATACCCTTGAGACAAAATAAGTGTAAAAGAAACACAAACATGAAAAAGAAATCAAACCCAGATACCAAAAATTCAATTAAAATCAACCCCAACATCTCCGCTTATCAGTAACACCATTGAAGATTCTTGAATCAAAGGCGAAATCTGATTTGGGGGAAATATAACAAATCAAAGAAATTTGGGACTTTTGTGCTGGGAGTTCTCAAAATTCACGCATAGATATATACTATATATATTATATATGTATAGGGAAATTCTTCAATAAGTATTTAAGTTAAGAATTGGTTACATATTTCTAATTTTGGCCGTTGGATTGCATTTATTAGATGTGTTGGTAGATTTAATATGCAACATACATGCAATCGAGGAGAAGGGGTGGGTCTGATAGCCCCTCCCTTTGCAATTTTACTGCTAGCTTTGACGGACCACCTGTGAGAGAGAGAGAGAGAGAGTGAGTGATGTTGTCGGGGTCTATAGGGGTTGGGGTTTGGAGTGAGGCTACTGGGTTGTGCTCGTCGGGCTCGGGTGGGACTGGGAGGAGAGAGTGGCAGCACTACCATAGATATCGTTTTAAGTGGGGATGGGTTGGGTTTTTTTTTAATCGAGTTGGGGGGCTGATGGGTATTTTTATAAATATTTATTTTAAATTGATTTAAAAATATTTATGAATATTTTATTACATCTAAACCACAAAATTAAAAAGTGGGACTCATAAGTGTCATGTAGGCAACTAACGGAAGATTTGATGAAAAGCTTAACAGCGGAACTATATTGTAACAAATTGAAAAAAACAGGATATCTAATTGCAAAAATCGTGAAGACATATACTGACATACCTTACGAGTGCAACTGCAGGATACTAAATTGTCATTAACCATATTTTCATCTAAATTGTCATTAACCCTATTTTCATTTAGTGAATACGTCTCTATAGTTATATGCAATGAGCACCTTTCATAAGAAGAAAACATGATTTCATGTATACAATCCCGATCTCTTAGACCACAGGAGTCCAATAGATTGTGGTTACTTACCATTGGATATCAATCCAATGGTTCAAAAAAATTTCTTAAAAGGAGTGCAAGAGTGAATGAACCGTTGAATTTATATCAAACGGTGAGTAACCACAAATCTCTTGGACGCTTGTAGTCCAAGAGATCGGGACTATTCATGTATAATAGGAACCATGATTCAATGTCTGGGGGGGCGTAAGTTGAAATTTTATCATTTTTCCTTATTATCTCCCTCCATATACTATACATATACTGAAAGGATGAAAAAAATGGGGAGACCAGGGCCACTTCTAATGAGCCTATTTCCAGCCCTAATTAGAGGGCATACAAAAATTATTATCAAATGAAGTCCAATCATAAATCGTAATGGAATTAAGTGGGACATGGAGTTTGAAAAATGAAAAAAGTTTTGCTATGTATATTCAACTATCAAATATAACTTTGTCCAAGGTTACAAGTTACTTGCAACTTTCATAGTTTCGAAGACACTCGAGAAGTTATGAAACCGCCAATTTGGATTGTATTGCACTGGAGTTTCCCAATATCCATTTCTGAGAGGATCAGTTACGGGTAGCAATTCTGGACAGGAGGGAATGGCGGGCTGTCAAGGTGGTGGAATAGTGCACCAATACAATGAAAAGTTTCTGGAAACGTGTCTGGGCAATGCAAGTCCTTGGCAAAATTGCATAATTCCCTATAGAAACCAATCTGCTCCAGATGAAAGACTTCACAACATCAAACATGACAGATGCAAAATACGCTTGAAACTCTGATACATGCCACATGCTCTGCGGGACTGCTCAGCAAAAGAAAGTACGGAGATATTCATCTTATGCTCTGTGGTTGGATGTTGTTGTAGGGTGAAGTTTCATAGACTCATGAAGCAAGTGAAAGTTCTTTTCGACCTTGCGTAATAGGTATGCAAGCTGATTTGGAATAGTAGAAATGCTTAAATTCATGACCAAAGTGTACGAAGACATGCTCTGAATTTGAAGTTGCTGCCTCACCACACCAGGAACTCTTGCAAAGTTGGGCCAAACAGAGTACATAAGCAAGGACTCAGCCAAATGGGAAAAAGCCCTGCCTACACTACAAATTAAATGTGGTGGACTTCACAAATAACATCTAAGAACGGGACTTGATGCCATGATTTGCAATGATGAAAGAAAAATCATGACACTATGAGCAATGGAAAATTCGGTAGGAACTACTCCCCAAAAGAAACGCAATTCATGGGCACTGTTGCAAGGCTGATATTACTTCAGGAATATCATCTAATTCTCAATATTCTTTCTTTTCAGCGACCCACTAAGAGCAGCCTTGATTTTCGTCCATTCTTTCAAAGAAGAAGAACTCCTCATAAATGAGCAAGTTTCACCTATCTCAACATTTCCTGCAGATACTTGCTTTGGTGTTAAATCACAATTTTTCTCAACATCTGGAGCGCATGCACCGTCATTGTCTACAACAGTATCTTCTGGACTACTTATTAAAACATCACGCCCCTTTCCAATTCCTAAAGATGATCCACTAGTAAAATTATCATGATCTTTATCCTGTTTTACTATCTCCTTAAGCTTTCTGTCAGTGGAGCTTACAGCATCTGCACTTTTTGGCTTTGGGACGAACTGCTGCTCAAAAGAGATACCTGGCACAATTTGTTTTATGCTGAATGAACTGGAACTATTATCACTAACCAATTGTGTCCATGAGGATTGCTGGCGCCATGAAGCACCTCTTCCTGACTTATTTGAAACTGCAATTGACATGGTAGGTTGAGGTTCAACCCACCCATCCACCAGTTCCGTCTCACAGAGCTGGCCTTCCAAGTTCTGGTTTTTGCTATCAAAATGGGCCACTTCTGAACTGCCAGACCCGTCCACCAGTTCCACCTCACAGAGCTGGTCTTCCAAGTTTCCATTGCTTTCCAAGTCCTGGTTTTTGCTAACAAGATGGGGCACTTCTGAACTAACAGATTTTGGTTGCACTTGGTCAGTAGAAGAAGCAATGCCTGTCAGTACATGTGAGACACTGAACGTACTGCTGCCTCTATGACCAACAAGTTGTTTCCAAGAAGATTTCTGAGACCACGAAACATGTTGAGCACCTAATTCTTGTTGATCCGGTTGAGCTCCCATGAACTTTCCTGACTCTTTTGAATGGGTTGGCAAATTCTTCTTGCTGCCAGGAATAGCATCCTCAAATTCATTTTGATTGTTGTAATCACCGAGAAGGGATTTCCTCTTTTTCTTAGGAGGTCCATTAATACTAGCTTTCTGCGCTTTAAACACATTTTCAGATGGTTCCTCTGCTTTTGAAGTTTGTGCTCCACTGGATCTCAATTCCTAGTTATCAAATACAGAAAAAAGAAAAAAAGAAAGACGTGAGGCTAGAAAGCTGTAGACATTGACCAAAAAGAAAGCATACACAAAGGAGTAAACTTGAGGCTAAATAAGCCATATACCTGAAGCTCTGATAATTTATCCTCATCCTGGTTGCTTGACACAATATTAATTATGAGATTATCTTCCTCTGCTGCAGTAGCAACAGGCAGTTCATGGTGGGGTTGATTAGGCAGTGCACAAGTCCTGCTTTGATGAGTATCAGAAACAGAAACGTTTTTTTCACGTTGGAAGAGCTTGTCCATTACTTTATTCATGATATTAAGCTCTTGCTCATTGATCCCAGGACATAATTGGTTTTGATGAGCAGGAGGAGCAGGGTGAGAAGGGACAGAATGCTCTTCACAATCGCAGAAATGGACGGGGAGAGAAGGAACTTGAACACGCTGGAAGCTGTATTTGTGTTTGCCAGTTCCAGTAAAGGGCAAAGCTTTTACCTGTGCAGAGGAGGACATATATGTTTAAAGGATAGATAAAATACAAAGGAGGGGCGGGCGGAAGGAAGCCTTACCGTTCTTAGTGCAGGAAAGAAAATCCGAAGCTGCTTGGTCCGTGATTCTTGCGAAGGAGGAAGAGGTTTGCTGGGCTTAATATCTGCCGGCGGAAGTTGAGCATCTTCTTCAGCCCATTCTCGTTTCAAACGAACAAGATAATGTTCTTTAGCCTTGTGGAGTCTCAGCTTCCCTCCCTTCCACGAGCACCCATTGTACTGTATATATTTAGGGATGTTACAACGAATATAATTACAAATGAATGACAAACGAAATAGAAATATTAGTAGAGAAAGAAAGATACCGTGGTAAATAGCTTGGAGAGGGACTTGTCGGAGGAAGGCAGGAAGTCGACGTAGGCAAAGCTTCGACCTTTAGTTCTGACAATGTCTACTCCCTCCACGTTTCCTCCTGCACCAAACATCCGATGCAGATCCTCCTCCGTCACGCTCCCTCCCAATCCCCCAACATGTATCCGAATCTTCTTTCCTCCATCTACTTGCGTTTCTTCTTCTTCCATCTCTTGAAAATTCTCAACTACCAGCGATTGGGATTGGGCGGATTCACTTATTTTTTCCATAAACTCTCGCTCTCCTCCTTTGTTAAAACACCCCC